AGCAATTGGGTGGCAATAAATTAAGACAAGTGGTTGATGTATAAATAAAATCTCAGATTCCATGATGGGTGGCAGGGAGGTGGGAAGGTCAGACACACAGGTCCCCGCTGGCAACGCATTTCAGGTCCCGCGTGAGGAGGCGGAAGAGGTTGAAGGTGACAGAGGCCTCCAGGCAGCCAGGGGACTCCTGCAGGGGAGGAGGGGACGGGTCAGGAGCTGTCCAGGGTCTGGTCTCCCAGTGGCTCCCCAGACCCGAGTGTCTCCCTACCGGGTCACTCACCTTTTTCAAGGCCTCCTGGAGCCGGTGCAGCCAGTGGTGGAGGCGACCCCGGGGCCTGGGCCCTGCCGTGGGCTGAGGCTGGACCTGTGTGCAGAGGAGGGTGGTGTGTGAGGCAGAGCTGGGCCAGGACAGGGGAAGCTGCTGCTCAGAGCTCACAGACCTGGTGCCCGAGCCCCAAGTACTCACACATGCCCGGAGCTGGGAGAGGACGTGGTGCAGGGTGTGAAGGGGCTGGTCCAGGACGTCCCCCAGGGCTGTGTCATTGTCAGCAGTGGCCTCCAGAACCTCCAGCGTCAGGGCCAGCTCGGCCTCCAAGGCCACGGGGCGCTCCCTCACCTGAGAAGAGGTGAGAAAGAACACATGAGGGGAACAGGTAGGGGGGTGAGAACAGAGAGGAACCAGTGAAGGTGACAGGCACATGGGAGAGAGCACAGCCAGTGGGGTCAGGTGGGAGCAGAGGGAAGGGAGAGCAGGTGTGGGGAGAGGAGAGAGGGACAAGGGAGAAGGAGAAGGTGAGGGGGCCACTGCAGAGCCTGGGGAGCGGGGCTGGGAGGGCAGGGGTAGGCCTGACTCCCCCTCTCACCTGCAGCTGCCTCAGGTCCCAGGTCCTGGGGAAGAGGCGGGAGTGGCACCTGCAGTCCTTCAGCAGAAGTGACTGTTCCTAGACAGCAAGGGAACAGGTTAGCCCAGCAGGAGGGGTGGAGGTTAGACCACTCTAGGGGGATTGCAGGAGGGCTGACAACAGGATAGAGGAGGTGAACTGCTGGGAGGACGGTAGAGGACCCTGCACTGCTAGGAAACATGAATTAGCCCCCTGCAGCAGGAGCTTGAGATAGCCCACTGCAGGAAGGGAAGAGGCTACCCCAGTGAAGGAAGCTGAGAGGGAAAGCATGGTGACCCTTGGAGTTGGGGGTGGAGGCCAGCCCGAGGCAGGAGGGCAGGGGAAGACTCACTAAGGCATCTTTGGCCCTCTTAAAGGCCTGTAGCTCCTTTGGCGACAGGGATTTGAACTGGGCTATGTGGCAGCCCCTTGCATCCGGGAGGGCCCCGAGGGGCTTGGTGACAGGAACTGCTCCAGTGACGGTCAGCACTGCGGCCATCAGCACTGCGGCCATCAGCACCAGTACTGCCATGCAACCCCCGATCAGGCCTGTGTCACAGAAAGAAAGGGAGCTGAGGAGATGGTGCGGCTGCCCCCTGAGGGCAGGGCTGCAGGAGCTGCATCTCAGACAGAGATGTGGGGCTCACCTCGTTTCATTCCTGATCTCTGGTCTTCGTCAGCAGAAGGACCACTCTGAGGCTGTCACCCGGGGTCTCTCTGGGTCTTGTTTGGAGTCTCTGTTCTTTTCAGTCTCCTCTTCCAGATCTCAGCCTGTGTCTCGGCCTCGACTCTTTCTGTCAATTTCGAGCTCTGTCTGGGACGTGATTGCTGCCTGAGCTCCATGGGGCAGCTTTTATGCCAGGCAGAAGGGCAGCCCCAGCTGATGTAGGAAAAATGAAAACACAGCCTTTAGGTAAGAAACCGGCCACCAGGGGAGCCCCAGGCTGGGAAAGCCCAGAGCAGGGCGGGGCCTGTGAGCCAGGTGAGCCGCTGGAGGGAAAGAGAAACTGATGGAGACTCAGGGATCACCTACAGGAAAGTGTGTTCCCAAGAGGATTCTGCCTGCTCTGGTTTTGTTGTTGTTTAACACAGGGTCTTACCCTGTCACCAGAGTGCAATGGCATGATCATAGCTCACTGTAGCCTCAAACTCCTGGGCTCAAGCAATCTTCCTCATCCAGCCTATAAAGTGCTGGGAATCTGGGCCTGAGCCACCACTCCTGGCCAATATACACATATTTTGAGACAGGGTCTCACTGGGTCATGCAGGCTGGAGTGCAGTGACTCAGTGCAACCGCTGTCTCCTGGGTGTAAGCAATTCTCTTGCCTCAGTTTCCCAAGTAGCAGGGATTACAGGCACATGCCACCATTACCAGCTAAATTATTTATTTTTAGTAGAGACAGTGTTTCATCATATTGGACCATGCTGGTCTCAAACTCCTGACATTAACTGATCTGTCTGCCTCGGCCTCCCAAATTGCTGGGATTGCAGGTGTGATCCACCACTCCCAGAGGCCAACATTTCTTAATTGCCCAGGCAAGTAAAGGCTCAGGAATATGAGGCTCTGCTCAAGAATTGAGGTGTGACCAAGGACTTGGACACCACGTGGGTGCTGTTCTTCTTAGGGAACTGCAGGCAGTGATGAACAGCATGAGTCCTGGAGCTGAAGGGTCTAGGGTTCAATCCAGTTGTGACCCTCACTGTGTGACCTTGGCAAGGAGGGGTGCATTCAGCAACACAGATTGCTGATGCACAGATTTGGAGAAAAAATGAAAAACACAACTGTGTGTTTATGTGAGTGATCCTTTAATGGGACCCACTCATTAAGACCATACCAGGACCTCAGCTGGAGAGTTTAAAACGTGATCTCAACGTACACTACTCCTCCACAAGGCAAGTATACTAACCCATCCTACAGGTGAGGAAACACAGGCTCAGAAAGCAATTTGTCCTGCATTACACTGGAATTAACTGGCAGGGTGAGAACTGAAACTCAGGCCACCCGAGTCCCTGGCTCAGCCTCTGTTTTTGCTGTAAGGTGCCCCTCAGAACCATCCTACGGAAAACAACCAATGCAATCAAAACACTCTTTAATAACTGCAGTCAATTTAAACCAGGAGACAGAAGAGCAAATACACAGGAATTTCACAACTACAAACAACATAGGTCAGGGAATCTAAACAACTACAGTCAGGTAAGGATTCTTGGATTTCACTACCAAATCCCTCAGGGAATGGTACCCCCCAGATGCCGGATCCAAGAGTCACGGATTCACAGAATCCCAAAGCTGGCTGTGGGGCTACAAAACCAGGGTTGGGTCCCGGGTTTGGGGGTGTCCTGGTAACCACACAAGGAGGAACTGGTGCCGTGCCTGGGGTCAGCCACGGTTTCCAGAGCTCAAGTCTCTTCCTGCTACAGCGGCCCTTGGAGGATCGTACAATGCACCCCAAGGAAACATCGCTGCTTCCTGGGGAACGGCGCTCTCTTCCCTGGAGGAAGGACCCGCGCCTCTTGTATCCGAGACAGAGGATCCAAGTCAGGCCCAAGATGGCAGAGAAGTTCTCGTGCCTCAGTGCCTATTGGCTGCGAGCCTCGCCTGGTCGGGCCAATGGGCGAAAGGGGCCACTTTCGGCAGCCAATGGCGTGGAGGTTTCGGGGCTGGCGGAAGGGGCGGGGTCAGAGGCAAGGCCCCGAGTGCGCCGCCCGCCGGAGCTCCCACGTGAGCAGGCGCAGGAGGTTGAAGACCACGCGGGCTTCGCGGCACCGAGGCGAGTCCTGGAGCCCGGGAGGAGCGCAGCGGGGCTGAGCCAGGCTCTTCCCTCCCGAGGAGCCCCCTCTGGTCCCGCCGCTCCCAGCCCTGCTCAGTCCCGGCCTTGTCCGCCTCGCCCGCTCCTCCCTGCAGGCTAAGCCCGTCCCGCCGGCTGCACTCACAGCTCTCCGCGGCTTGTGACGCCTCCTCGGGGCCCCGGGGACCTTCCTGGAGGAGCCGGGCCGGGCCAGCTCGAGCTGGAGGGGGGACACGGGGCAAATGGAGAAGGCGAAGGACGGGGCCCCCCGCTCCCTCTGCATCTGCCGGTGGCCCCCCAGCTGCAGACCCGAGCCCGGCTTTGTGGACACCCAGAGGACCCGGCCCGGGTCTGGACGGGTTTTTCCGCTAAGCGGGACAGACTCGCAAAGCGCTGGGCTCGCGGAGGGCCTGAGGACGCAGAGAAGCCGGCGGGGGCGAGGGGCGGCGGGGCGCGGCGGTCACTCACACAGGCCGCCACGTCCCTCCCCGCGGCCGCCAGCAGCTCCAGGATCGGGCCGGCGCCGGGGAGCAGCTCCGGGCGGTGCAGGCGGCTGAGCACGGCCTGGGCGTCCGCGATGCCTCGGGCCACGTGTCGGAGCCAAGCGCAGGACTGCGGGGACGCGCGGGCGTTAGAGGGGGCCGCGATCGGGCCGTGCCTCCCCCGCCTCCCGTCCCGGGCCTCACCGACGGCCGCGGAGGATCCCTCCTGGGGTGGAAGGAGCAGTTGCGCGGTCCCCAGCTCAGCGCCTCTTCCTCCTGCGGGACAAGCGGCAGGTATCGCGTACGGATGGGCCCCCTCGCCAGGGCCCCTAACCGCTGTGCCGTCTGGGATTCCTGGACGTGGATAGGCCTTGGCCGGGTACCGTTGTGCGGGGCGTACACTGAACCACGAGCTCTCCGAGTGTGTGAACCGGGGCTGAATTGCACCCCGCGCTCCCCCAGCAAAGCCCTGCGCCCCGACTTGGAGCCGAGTCCGCCCGGCAGGGCGCCCTTCTGTGACTGACCCTGGGCCTGCGTTCGCGCTGCCGACGGGGCCTGCGGGGGTCTCGTGTTGGGAATTGTGGGCTGTGACATACGAGAGGCTCTAGGACGTAGGACCCCTCGGGACAGGGACGGACGTGTGGGAACCCGTCGGGGCCAGAGTCCCGGGGACGCAGGGCCTGGGCGGTCACTCACGTAGCGGTCCCTCAGCGCCTTGGCCGCCAACAGCGTCCGGGGCTCCAGCGAGCGGTAGTGCGAGAGCAGGCAGCGCCGGGGGGCCGCCGCACCCACCGTGCACAGGACCCACAGCCCCGCGGCCACCGCGGCCGCAACACTTGGCCGCATCTCTGCTCCTGCAGGAGGCCAGGGACGTCAGGGAGGCCAAAGAGAGGGGCCCACGCGTCCAGCCCCCGCCTTGGATCAGGCTCTCAAGGGGAGGCGATGCTCGGAGTGCGAAGGCGCAGCACACGCAGGGGAGAGACAGTTGGGCGGTCCCCTCCTCGCCTCGGTCTCTGCCCCCACTCCTTCCTGTAGTGCACCCTTTGTGCCTCGCGCTGTGGCAGGTGTTGCCGTCCGCTGGACCCTGGGAGGCGTCCAGAGCAGTCTCCACCTGGGCAACAGAGTTTCGACGGCCCATGCTGGCTTTTATGTGCAGGGCTGAGAAAGGGTTTGCAGCTGGGCTTCCCCGACCTGGGCAAGCTTTCAGAACGTCACTGCTGGCCGCAGGCCTTTGGGATCCCAGTCGGGTGTGAGGACTTCAACCGAAGGTTGGCCTGTGCCAGGGAGGGCTGGCCTCCAACACTCGGTTTCCAAATCGTCTCTGTCCCTGTTTCTACTGTCGGTTTCCTCTTGCTTTGCTTCATCCTGGTTGTCCTTATCTTTGTTCTGCCACCACAACCAGCCCTTGTGTAGTGTTGACTGCATCAGGCCCTCTTCTATGTAATTGACACAGACATATCATCTCATATATATATAT